TAGCATCCCTGTCAGGCTTCCACCTCACAGGACAACTTGAAACAATAATGAAGTCAAGATTCTTGCCTAAGCAGTGGGGATGGGGGACTGGGGGACGGACACAGTTTGTGTGGAGGGGGAAGAATTGATATTTTTAACTATAAGCCAGCATTAACATTTTAAGTCTTAAAGAATAGAAAAGGTAGTTGACTTCTGTCTTAGTCCATTCAGGCTGCTATAACAAAATACCCTACATAGACTAGGTGGCCTGGTGGCTTATAAACAACGGACGTTTGTTTCCCACAGTTCTAGATGCTGGGGAGTTCAAGATCAACGTGCCAGCAGATTTGGTGTTTGGTGAGGGCCCTCTTCCTGGTTCATAGACTGCTGTCTTTTCACTGTGTCCTCACATGGTGGAAGGGGCAAGGGAGCTCTCTGAGGTCTCTTTTATAAGGGCACTAATCCCACTCATGAGGACTCCACCTTAATGATCTAATCACTTCCCAAAGGCCCCACCTCCTAATGCCATCATATTGGTCATTAGGTTTCCACATAGGAATTTTGGGGGGACACATTCGGTTTATGGTAACCTCTCTACCCTTGTCCCTGCCTTTGGAGTTCAGATGTAGATTGCAGAGAGGGAGATGGAAAAGGCGGGAGAAAACTATGCGGGGTTGAGGTGAGCAAAAGTGAAATCGCAGCCCCATGCCATTTGCTCCTTAACAATCCCGTGAACTAGGCACGGGAGCTTTCATTAGCTCCATTTTACAGATGAGAAACACAAACCGAAAGAGAGTAAATGACTTGTTTGAGCTAATTTGTGGCAAAGTGGAGAATGTTTCCACACAAGTTCAAGTCCAAGGCCCTTTCTCTTCTCATTCTCCTCCTCCTAAACCCTGCCTTGTGAATCTTGTTGTGAGTCTTAGGCTTCCTATCATTCCTATGAAATAATTGTTCTTCTCATGAAGAACCAGCATGATTTGCATTTTAGGCACCAAAAGTCTAAAACCCAGGGAGGTGAGGAGCTTCAGCTTAAAACAAAACTGAGCCCTTCCAACTATGGGGCAGGACATGGTCCCATCCACTAGTCTCAACAGCCATGAATGCATAATTATGCGTTTGATTACAGGATAGTTTTTGGTGGAGTTTCCCAAGGAAACATCAGTGATACAATCGCACTGGTGATAGACACAGTGCAAGGCAGTGTTATTGACTGACATGAATCAGTGCACAGCCATAAAGAAGAAGAGAGTGCTTCATGCTTTCCTTACTGGTGCATCCTAACTCAGCAGAGGGCAGAGTATGATTCCTGCATTCCATCATCTGCGTCCAACCAGATAATTCACCACGATCAGAGGCAGCGTTTAACACCAATGTGGCTGTCAGCTACTGAAGACAGATGCATCTCCAGCCCACTCACCCCTCACCTGGGCCTGAGCTGCTGAGATCACCTCAGCCCTTAGGAGGCAGGTGTTAGTGTCTGTTAGTATCTCCACTAAGAGGCCAGATGAAGCAAAATATGTGATTACAGAAAGTAAGACAGATCTTGACTATAAGCAGACATCATTTCTGTTTCTCAGTCTTGAAAACATCAATGTCACCAGTACTCAGGCTAGATGGAGTTTAAGAGCATGGTCTCTTTGCTGACTGCCTGCATTTCCATCCGGGCTTTGCTGCTTAGGGTCTGTGTGGCCTTAGGCATGTTATTTAACCCCTCTGCCCCTCAGTTTTATCATCTGTAATATGGGAGTAATAAATAATAGCACTCACTACAGAGGGTTATTGTCAGGATTAAATGAGTTGATGCTTGTGAAGCGGTTAGAAGAGAACCTGGCCTAGAGTAAGTATGGAATCAATGTTTCCTCTTCCTGTCTGCAGGATCTTGGAAGTGGCCCAAGCCACCTAGATTTCTTAAAATGAGGCATCCACTATAGTCTCTTCCAGCTCGAGGCTTCCCTGGTTCTCTGTGCATCCTAGACTACTTCTCCAAGTGTGGTCCATGGGCAGGCAGCATCAGCATCCCCAGGGAGCTTATTAGAAATGCACATTCTCCAGCCCTTCCCTGGTCTTACTAAATCGGTATCTCAGAGTGGGCTCAGAGTTCTGTGATATAACATGCTCTTTAGGTAATTGTAAAGTTGGAGAAGCATTGTTCCAGAATCCTCTCTTTACTGAGAAACTTCAAGCCAGATATCACGTTCAGCAACCCTAATGGTGGAGCTGCAGTGGTCACAGTGACTGTGGGGACCAAATGTCTTCAGAGATCCCTTTGACATGTGGGCTGGTTGGAAGCAGGGCATTTAGAGGGCTTTTTCAGGACCTCAACACAATCAGCTCAGTTAATTAAGAAAAGAGTGATACTTCGAATGAGAGAAGAGGCTGGGGCAAGTCTGGAGATTACGAATAGGGCTAAGTTTTAGCCCCAGTTTTCATATTATTTGACCTGAGATCAGATTTCCACCTACCATCCGGTATTTGCAGCTCAAATGAGTCTGTAAACTGGAGATTGCAGCTTTGCAATTCAGGACCTTGGAAGATGGCTTCCAGTTGCTTCTTTTTTTAAATTTGTATTCAGCTAGTCTCATAAACGAAACTTGGAGAGCTCATTCTTTGAAATGAAGAGACTATTAGACAATGAAAATCCATCAACAGTGTCAGCAGAGTTTTTCCACAATTCAAGACATTACAATCAGTAAGCGCTGCAGATATCTAAAGAGGAGAGAGGAGTAAGTGAATAGACTTCAGCATCTACCTCTCACTCCCTCCCTACTCCCACGTCTCTAGTCATCTGTTTATCTCCAGGATGCTTCCCCCTGTATGATCAAGCAACACAAATAAAAAATGCAACTTTTCTAAAATGAACTTTTTTGATCTTCTATAGGGCGTATTTCTTTTTAGTTACTTCTCAACCAACAGTGAAACAATTACTTCTCCAATTTTCTTCCCATGCTGAAAACTTGGAGGTATTAGTCAACTCACAGCCTTCTGATGCATTACAGTGTCTCTTGATCTGCTTCCTAGAGTCGCTCTGTTTTAGAGACACAATACAGCTCAGGTTCTTATCACCTCATATTATTACAATACAGCTCAGGTTCTTATCACCTCATGGCCTGACGGCTTCAGCGACCTCTTGGCAGTACCCTTGATGGACCCACCTATTTCCTCCTCCATCATATACCCCCATTGCCACATTGCCACTGCAACACCTCTCAGTGACTTTTTTCTTACCATGCTGTTCATGCCTTTGACAAAGAAGCTATTCTGCCTCCATTTTGTCAATTCTATCAAATCCAAATATCTCTGCCCAGCCTCCAAGCTATTTGCTAACTCTGCCTCCCACATTTCATCAAGAGAATTCTCCATATTCTTTTTCATTCCAGAAAGTCAATGCGCTGCCCTCCTTACTGTGCTTACTTCTTCCCACCTTCAGAGCACCGCACATACCATCCTCCTCATGCGCTGACAGTACACTTCACCCATCCCACGTTTTCCTTCCTCCTTTCCTTCTCTTTGTCCTTCTTTCTTGTTTCAGAGCTCTTATTAAACATTCACTCAGCTCCCCTCCAACCTTATATGTACTGCTGCTGCATATCTGCACTCCTCTGTGTATGTTGCTTTGCAAATATCCCCAAGTGATTTTTATATGTAGGTTCTCATCTAGATACTTTACTATTGAGGACCAGAGGCAGCGGAGAATTTTCCATTTCTTTTGTTAGTGCTACACTTCGGGGACCAGCCCAGAGTGCTGAGGTTGATAGAATGTTCAGCATGAAGTGGGTGCTCACTACATGTTATTCACTGATTACAAAAAGGTTGCTTGATCCCCTGAAGATAGCAAGAGGAGAAAAAGCAGTTAGGAGTCCCCTAACTGAAGCATATTTTAGGGGGCTCTAACGAGACCCAATTAGAAACCCGCATCCTGTATTCATGTCTTTCCTGTGAACGATAAAAGCTAGTATGTGAAAAAATCAGGCTCGCTGTGGCTTTTTGGACTGTCGCACGCTTCTCCTCTGCGCTGAGTGCTTGCCTGGTTTGCATTACGATTTCCTTCCTTGCTGGAAAACCACATGGACTTTCTTCCTTTCTTTGGAAGAAGTGGGACCTGCTGGAAATGTGAAGCTCTAGGATTCAAATGCAATGGGCTTGGCTGTAGTGTTCTGAGTGCATTTCTCGACAAGTCCTGAAAAGACTATTGAATTCTGGCCTGTGCCTTTTTTCTGCAGTGTCTGGATGTGTTTCAGCTGCAGTGTTTGCCTGGGTAGAATAATTGAAATAGAATTGTTTTTCTTCCTCGGCAATCTTATGTTATAATTTCATCCTTTACAGTTAAAATGGAATATTTTATTACTATGCAAATACTTTTGAGTGCAGTAGAATCACAGCTCTTTCACAAGCAAACAAGCTATCTTTTAAAGTTACGTAAACAGGTGAAAATATAAACTGGTAGTGCTATCGTGATAGACAAACTGGCAGGTATTTGTGAGTGCTAGAGGATACCGAGTTACATTAAGACCTTTTTTTTTTAAACTAAATACAGGCATTTTGGGGGACTTCTACTTAATAGGAAAAAAATTGTTTCCCTCTTTTATTTCATATGATCAAAACACTATCTGGTCATCTCTGCAATGTCACCAACATTGTGCATGTGTGGTGGGCTGGGAGTTTGATACTTTATGTACCAGCCTATTGTCCTCCGGTAATCTTCAAAGGGCTGTTGGCCTTTGAATCTGCTCCATATCTAAAATTCTAGCTTTAATTATCAGATTAGCCTGCATTTTTTTTCTTTGTGATTGAGGAGAGGAGAAGCTGAAATGTGTTTATTATTCTGCAAAATACTTAAGAGGGTAGGATCCCAAATGTTTAATTTTGTTCTGGAAATAAGAGCTGGTCAAATTTTAGACTCCTGCAAGCCAAGAGAGGGAAATTCATAAATCGGGAGAACAGAGTCACCGAGTGACACAACATAAATGGATGTTGGTCTGTTGCGCCCTGCTAAACAACCCTGCAACTGTGCCTTTCAGGGTCCCTGCAAGTCATGAACAAGACGAGAAAGATTATGGAACATGGGGGGGCCACCTTCACCAATGCCTTTGTGACCACGCCCATGTGCTGCCCATCACGGTCCTCCATGCTCACCGGGAAGTATGTGCACAACCACAATGTCTACACCAACAACGAGAACTGCTCTTCACCCTCGTGGCAGGCAATGCACGAACCTCGGACTTTTGCTGTGTATCTTAACAACACTGGCTACAGAACAGGTAAAGGGTGAACTTCCGAGCCCGTGAACCTCTGGTAATACGTCTTAGACACAGGTGACTGCATTGTGTAATGAAATATGTGAAGTTCCAGTAAGTCCCTAAATGGTAGTAGTCTAGGCTTTTCTTCTGTATCAATATCCTCTCCATCTCTTACTTCTTTACTCTGAAGAAGGTACCAATGACAAGTCCCTTAAAGTCAGAATGATTCTCAGTGGACACATTATGAAAGTGCTGTACCCATCAGAGCACCCAGCAACTGGAATTTTCCAGGACAACCTGCAACAGAGGAGTTTTCATCCTGTTTGCCTGTTTATCTCAACCTCTTAAATCTCAGGGGATCATGGCACACCTTGAGGTTTAGCTTAGATGTTGGTAAATTCCTGTTGATTCTTTCAATGAGTAAACATCAAGTGTTTTGAAACTGATTAGCACCTACCCCAGGGCCTGGGACACAATAGATGATCAAAATTATTTAGTGAATTAATAACCAAATGAATAAACCAAATAAATTATTGATTCATTTATTCATTCATTCATAATTAATAGAGTTTGGAGATTCTTTAGCTTAAGCTGTGGTTATTTTTAGGTTTCAAATATTCACCTCCATTTTCCAGGAAAGGAAGGCATCCTAATTGCTACGCCTACTATCACTGTTTAACCTACACAGGGCAAGAAGAGGGTTTTAGTTAGTTGGTCTTTTGAAAATTGGGGACTTCTTTCAAGAGAGGTCATGAACGTCATGCCAGTCTTTCTAAGAAAGCAGCAAGGCTCTTTCTGGTAAGTTTGCCCTCCAAAGCCTTTATTCTCCCAGCATTTAGATGCTTTCCTCGGATTTTCTGAGCATTTCTTCATGAAAGAAAGCCAGGATATTAATAAGGGGGCTGGAGTGCAAAAATAGTTTTTTTCAGAACCACCTAGACTTATTCATAAGACTTAAGGATATCATTAAAGCTTGTTGGAAATAATTTTCAGGTCTACAGATTCTCTCTTCTAAAGATTTAAAAGTAAAGGATTTTGGATAAATGTATTCTCTCAAATCTCTTTAAAAAATGAAATTAATCTTTCCCGCTGGCCTCAGGAATTATGTGGCCATTTGCTTTGCAGAGCGCCCTGTGGGCACTTAATGCTTGTTATTTATGGGTGAAAATATTGATTTTGAATATGATAGCATTGTTGTTCACAGGCATCGCAAGATCTCCACTCACAGAGGAAGCTCCTCCCATGAATCTCAAGAGTGCTTGCTTATGGTTAGGAAAGAAACTAGGCTGCTCAGAGTGCCTTATCTAACTAAGTGTGTTTTCTCACATAAGTAATTTAAATTTATAGCACCTTTCATCTCAGAGCTCTAAAGCAATTTGCAAATCCATCAAACATCCCTGTAGGGTTCATAGACAGCAAGTGTACTTGGCTCTACTTTATAACTGAGGTGTGGATATCAAATATTTTGTGACCAGCTCAGAAGCAAAATCAGAAATGGTCCCCTAATGCCTGCTTTCTGATTTTAACCACCAAATTGTGTTTTATTTATGGGAAGTGTTGTGTGAAATCAGTGCCTTTCAACTCCCAGGATCCCTATAATTTAATCCCTAGTAGCAGACATAGTCAGCCCTGGTGGTCTAGTGGTTAAGATTCAGCGCTCTCATCACCATGGTTGGAGTTCGTGTCCCGGTCAGGGAACCTTACCACCATTTGTGGGTTGTCATGGTGTGGTGACTGAGTGTTACTGTGATGCTGAAAGCTGTGTCACCAGGATTTCAAATACCAGCAGGGTCACCCATGGTGGACAGGTTTCAGCAGAGCTTCCAGACTAGATAGACTAGGAAGAAGGACCTGGCTACCCACTTCCAAAAAAACTGGCTGTGAAAACCTTATAAATAGCAGTTGGAATAGAGTCAACAGTACTAACAACCAGCAGACATAGAAACATAGAGGGTTGAAACAGAGAGAGTTAGAACTTTCACTGTATCCAGACTGATAATGGACAGCGTCGGCCATGAGATCCTAAGAAATAGAGATTCAGGGTGACACCTCTGTGTCCCTGCCAGGACTTAGAGCAGTCAACTAGGGCTTGCTAATTTGTTTCGGGGCTAAATCAAGAAAGGAGAAAAAGAAGATGAGTAAGTTCTGGAGAAATGGTGTATCTGGTACTTGTTTCATTATACTATGCTGTATCCACTCCAGAATGGATTACAAGAGCTTGAATAAAACTCAGCCATGATTTAGTTCAGTTCCCTTATTTTCAGATGAACAAACTTAGACCCACAAGGTTAAGATGACTTATTGAAGTGACACATCTGATGTTCTATGGGAAGAGCAGGCACTGGGACTTTGGTCTTCAGGCTCTTTCAGTGTGCTGCTCCAACCTTAGGGTTAAGTCAAAGAGGAAACTGCACTCCAGAAGCCTTTCCCAATGACAACTGTCAGTCCTTTTGTGCAGCCCAGAGGGCCTGCTTCAGGTCATTGTCTTCTCCAGGGAGAAGAAATTTGCTCCTGGAAACTAAATCTGATTCTGAAGCCAACCTTCTCCCCAGGGGTCTAGACACTTAGGTAATAATGGAATTTATAGTGAGTCATCCTACAGAGGAAAAGGAATTCTTTAAGGGAAACAAAGACTTTTCCAAATACCTAGTTAGGAATAGAAAATGGAGGATATGCACTCAGGAAAATAAATTATGATGTTCCCATTAAATCAAAAAATTAAAAATTGGAAGACTAAAATGGCATGATAGAGATCTATATAATTTGAATTTATCTTTGATGGGAAAATATTGAAGTGTCTCAGACAATTAGGAAAAATAAAGAGGTCTTTGTGATAATTATTGATCCATCCAGGGACAGAGACTCATTTGAAAATACACAAATAAGCACATCGGGATGACAGGCATCTTAGGAAACGAAGAGAATTGGTGAGTGGGTATTAAACCAACATAATTATTGATGAGCCACTAAACTGGTGGGAAGAAAGCCAACATATAAAGATTGTATTGTTTTCCTAATAATGAACACATTATTTGGAACATTTAGCTGATAATCTAAGAAAAATAATGAAGGAAGCTGAAATATGTATTCTACATAAATACCCATCTAGAGAAAAGCACAAAGCAGCAATCAGTTTCATGAAGAATGACTCAGAGAAGACAAATTACTAAGAGGCTCATTTTGGGAGGCCTCCAGAATACATGGATATAAATGAATCGAATGGATCCAATATTATATTTACCATTGTATGACATGATTTTTTCTTTTTCAGAACTGAAGCATATTTTTGGACTGGCTATAGCGTAAATTTTTCTAAGTTTACTCATGGAAAATATGACTGTACAACAGCTTAAATGTTCAAGAAGGGGAAAATACATGTCTTGCATTTTATGGTCTGACAAGTGAAGTGGGAATGATATTGGATTATCTATCATAAAAATGAATATCCTGCCTTTCTGCTCAAAAAAAATTTTAGTTTAAATTTCTTGTGAGGGCATAGACATGAATGGAAAACCTGGCATAAGTTTTAAGGTAAAAGTAATAATCCACATTTGAAAAATAGAATCAAGTATTAGAAAAAACCCTGAACAAAGACTGAGGAGAGCTGGAGTCACGTCCCAGGTCTGCCTTTAATTTGTTTTGAGAACTTGTACAGGCCAGTTTTCCAACCTGTGTAATGCAGAGATTGGACTAGAGTGATTCCTAAGTGTTCTTTCCTGTCCAAAATTATATTGTAATTTTATTATAATCACTGTAATTATTATATTGATTCACTTAAAAATTGTGTTTAAATTATAATCATAACACAGGATGCATACAATCACATGTGAATTAAATTTTAGCCATACTAATTCTATTTCATAGCACTGGGGTGGAAGGGCCAATATTTAATAGAGATCTGCAATTAATCTTTTTATAACAAAACGATTTAGACATATTAATCAATTTTCTAGTTTCGTGTCTTTTTACATTAAAAATTTATGTTACCTATAGCAAATATATTTATTTATTCTCTAATATGGGATTTTTTTTAAATGTAGAGTTAACGTAAAGTAAGACAACTACTATTCTTATTTTTATGTGTTATGGTATTATAGATTTTTGATAAGTACATAAACATAAGATATAGCATACCACATATCACAAATGGTATGCCATTTATTGAGCCATATTAGTGAGTGTGCTATGTCTAGTACACTAGATACTGAGATGTGAAGAGATATCAAGTATGATTCTTGTCTTCATTAGACTTACAATCTAGTTGGGGAAACCAGACTCCTGTACAAGTTGACATAAGAGTAAATTATAATTTTAACTTGATTCCAAATTGTGTATATTTTTAGTTACTACTAGTGAAATCCTGCCACCCCAAATCTATCAATTACATGGAGTAAAAGCTCAATTAGTGTATCATTTGTTATATTAAATAAGATTTAAATTCTCCACAGCATCAGGGCCGGCCCTGTGGCTTAGCGGTTAAGTGCGTGCTCCGCTACTGGAAGCCCGGGTTCGGATCCCAGGCGCGCACCGACGCACCGCTTCTCCAGCCATGCTGAGGCTGCATCCCACATACAGCAACTAGAAGGATGTGCAACTATGACATACAACTATCTACTGGGGCTTTGGGGAAACAAAAAAGGAGAAGGATTGGTAATAGATGTGAGCTCAGAGCCGGTCTTCCTCAGCAAAAAGAGGAGGATTAGCATGGATGTTAGCTCAGGGCTGACCTTCCTCATAAAAAAAAAAAATTCTCCACAGCATCAGAAATCTTTTGTGTAGTTACTATTGCTGACAAAATTAAACTCCTTTGCTTCACATAGTTCAAGGAAATTTTTCTAAGACAATCCTGGACAGAAGCAGAATGGCCTAAAGTCGGCAGTAATTATACTCAGCTCTTTCTGATCTCTCTCCCTGTCACCCGACCCCCTACCACCTTCTGAAACAGCTGTGAAGGGCAGTGTTAATGGTGTCCCAGAGAAGAGAGTGATACAAAAGGACGAGTAGAGGGTGCGTTAGTGACAGAATCAGATGGTAGTAAGTTGAGTTGAATTGCCAACACCAAAGGATAGAAAAACTTCAAACTACACATAATATAATGGCAATATGGGCAAGAAAATGAAATTCACCTTAGGGAGGGAGAAAGAGATATAATACAGCTGGAGGAAAATAATTAGAAGCCCAGATAATCAATTGCAGAGCACTGCCAGGAAACATAATGCTGAAAGAGGCCAGGGGTGATTACAAATGAGTCTCAGTGTCACGGGGCAACAAGAAAGGCTGGAGTAACAGGAAGCTGACAACACTGGGGTGCTGCGTTGTGACACATGAGGGCCCGGGCTCTCTTGGAACAAGTGTGATGGGTGAGGGCATATCTGGAAACACTGAGTACATTTTTTACACTCCATTAACACAGAGACACCGAAAACCTGGAGGGAGTTCTAAGGCGAATAACAGGGCCCATTAAGAGACTTGAAGAAATAGTTTATGAGAGGATTAAGGAAGGGCAAGAGCCATGGCAATGGGTGGGAAACAGTACAAAATAACCTAACGAGTGAAACAGTGAGGGAAGGGCAGGAATGACGTGGCATGGCTGCCCCAAGAGGAAAAAACAGAGAACCAAGGGAAAAGTAGCAGGAAAAATCTAAAAGCTAATTAAGCAGGAAAATGTAAGCTAAATAGGAGAGAATTTGTTGCCACAAAATAACTCAGATTAGAGAAGAAAAATATGTTACCTGTCAAGAGATGTTTTCAAATGCACGAGTGCAGAACTCTGGAACAAGATTTTCTTACTGCAGAATGGTCGAATTATTTAAAATCAGAACGAGGAGTTGAAAGGATAACGGTAACAGTGATGCTAATAATAATACACATAAAAAGCCTTTGTTCCAGGCACTATGTTAAGCACTTTACTGTGTATTAATTCACTTAATCCTGACAACAGTCCTCCCACTATTATTATTATCATCTTCATGGTTTTGTAGAAGGGGACTTGAAGGTAGAGAGAGTTAAGTAGCTTGCTGTGGACTTATAGCTGGCAAGTGGCAGAGCCGGGATTGGACCCCAGGCAGGCTGGCTCCGGGTGTATATTCCAAACCACTATGCTCTTTTACTTCTTTGAAAACAAAAGGAGAGAGAAATGGAATAAACCCCCAGGGATGAGGAGCAGGCCAGAGGAAGGAGCTGGGTCTGAGGTTATTAAGTGGAAGGTTCCTGGAAACAGTCCTCTTGTGAAGTAACGTTGGTGAGTGTTGCCTTGGTCTGCTGCCTGTGATGCCAACTTACATTGCCTTGTGTTGGAAAAGGAAAATCATCCTGTGGTTCTTGTGAAAAGGTGGTTAGTCTCTGAAGACAAGAACCCCTCATTAGAAGAATTCCTACTGCGTATAGTCAGCTTGGGGGGAAATCCGGAGTCATATCTGACATGAGACCCTCTGACACTTTGTCGTATACCTGTCCATCTGCTCCCGGGCCCTGGCAGAATCTTCAGGCAGCGGGTGTTTGGCTAATTGACCACTTGATTGATTCACTCATTTGAGATTCAACATATAAACATTCATTCAGCAAATATACAAGCATTGCCATGTTTCTCAGACTTGAGTTAACTCTTCAAAGAAAATAAATCTAATGAGAAAGATCAACTTCAGCAACTCTGAAGCTCTATTCTATGAAAATATTTAGACCAAATCATCTTTAAAAAATTATAATTCAAGTGAAAACAGAAAATAGACTTTAACATGTCTAGAACCTGTTAAAGAACCCAGAATACATTGGGCTCCATGAGCCCCAGTTCAAGAAACAAAAATTATGGAGCCTGGATACTATGTGCAAGGATAGGGGTGGAGGGTACAGAGATGAGGCAAAGGCAATGTTTGTCCTCAAAAACCTTACAGTCTAAGAAGTATTAGTCTTGTATATGAACATGACTATACCACAAGGAAAAAAGAGAGAATGGCATTAGAGCCACAGAGACAAATTGCTGTGGGGTTGGGGCAGAGACCCAGAGTGAAATGGCCTCTGCTCTGGCCCTGAGACTAGAGAGGAGGGAGGTGGAGCAGTCGCCCAAGCAGAGGTAGAGAGATGGAAACCAGAGCAAGCAGGAAACACATTAGCTAGAGAGAGAGTTAATTAACAGAAATGCAAGAGGGAGTTGGAAAGAGAGGGATTTTGTCCAGACCCAAGGGAGGCCTTGGACGGTGAGCTATCAAATTAAACTTGATTCTGTAGGTAAGGAGGGTCCATCCAAGGTTGTGGGAAGAGGGTGATGTGACCGGAGCTGGTCTTCAGGAAGATGGCGGTGAGAAGTAGCTAGTGGCTAGGAAGGCCAGTCAGGAGACTGTGGGCATCCGTGAGGGGTGTCAAGCATCAGAGAAAGAGGGAAGGTTCGAGAGCTATTACCCAGGTAGAACCTACAGGTGATGGCGACTCGGCAACAGGAGCAAAGGAGCAGGTGGAGTCAGGGAAGGCTCTGGGGTGCCAAGCCTGGTTAACCAGGAAGGTGATTATGCCACTCAGAGGACTACAGGTTATCTGAGGAGAGAAGTAAATTTGGAGGGGAAAATGATTAATTCCGTGTTGGACGATTGCATTAAGGGGCAAGTGAAACTTTCAGATGAGGTTATTCTACAGGTAATTGAATAGCAAAGATGAAAGCAAGCTAAATAGCTGTCCCATAAAGAGACAGAAATGATGTATGTTGGATAAGTTTAGGATTCAGAAATGCGTGCTTTAAGAGCAACACCAATAAAGTATTTGATTCTAGGATCCGTTTGTGTGTGTGTGAGGAAGATCAGCCCTGAGCTAACATCCATGCCAATCCTCCTCTTTTGGCTGAGGAAGACTGGCCCTGAGCTAACATCCGTGCCCGTCTTCCTCCACTTTATGTGGGACGCCACCACAGCATGGCCTGACAAGTGGTGCGTCGTGCGCGCCCGGGATCCGAACCTGGGCCGCCAACAGCGGAGCGCGCGCACTTAACCGCTACGCCAGGGGGCCGGCCCTCTAGGATCTGTTTTTATCATCTCAAGCCAGTCATCCAGGAATTACCTTTCTTCGTGGATGTAGGTAGAGGTACTTGTAAAACCTGCTGAATGAAGCTGGGAAGTGGCTTTGACGTGGAAGGCATCTGGCTGGCCATAGGATGCAGTCTCTCCCTAAAATGAAAGATTGCAGCCTTTTAAAAATCAGAAAAAGTAAAACTTGCATGCATGTGTGTATGAATGTATGTATGACACACACTCCTATATCTATATGTACGTATTTGTATATGTATACCACACACACACGTACATATACCTCTATATACAGACATACAATGAAGTTTTCTCTAGTCCTTCATACTTGAGGGGAAGGCTATCTGTGTGGCTAATAGGGTGACAAAACAGCTACTGGGGTCACCCATAATAATGCTTGTTTATGTGTGTTTTCCTGGTGAAATTACAATAATTACAAATAGACCCTCTTTCTCAAAAGTGTGCCAACAATACATTTTTGGCTACCCTTCTCATAGTCATAAGGTATTCAACTTCAAGATCTAACCTATTTTGTTCCAGAAATCCCAACCCGCCTTACTCTCCCCGTTGCCCCTCTCCTATCATCATCTTTGGCAGAGGACCAAATTTGAAGTTTCCTTCTCAGAAAGGATTGGTCAGCCCTGTTGCATGGTGGCCTTTCTTGGATGTGAAAGTTACAAGTGTGAAGTCTTTCCAGTGGCCTTTTCAATGAGCAGTGGAGTGTTTGTGGCACATATACTTCTATATACCCTAATTCTATGAAAATTAGTCATCTATGTAGTAACTCTATGTTGCCAGAATTTTTTGTTTTTTTTGATGAGGAAGATTGGGCCCTGAGCTAACATCTGCTGCCAATATTCCTCTATTTTGTATATGGAACGCTGCCACAGCATGGCTTAATGAGCGGTGTGTAGGTCCACACCCACGGGATCCAAACCCACGAATCCCAGGCCACCGAAGTGGAGTGCGAGAACTTAACCACTACACCACCGGGCCAGCCCCAGAATTTTTTGTTATCAATAATAGACATACACATTCGTAAAATACACATAACATAAATACTGATGATGTAAAATATGTATATGTGGCCACAAAAGTCCTGACCATGTCCCAAAAAAACGGAGTTTACCCCGGTTCCTTGATTTCGAAAATTTGTACTCTCTGGATATGCAAAAACAAAGACAAGCTTTTCAATAGTGTTTTTATAAGTCACAACTCTCAAACAGTAAGTTAGAGAACTTGTTTTATCACAAAGACTGAACTTTCAGTTCTCCAATATTTGCCCAGAGGTAGCATTCCAAAATCACACTGCCTACTTCTCTGATTGTTGCATCAACTTAACAAGAGGGTACATTCTGCCTTTATCCCAGTAGAACCACAAGAAATAGATGCACCCAGAGTACCATGATCATTATGGTGATTTTATTGAACTATAATCCACGTATTTGGGTGCTACTTTTATTTACTCAAAAGGAAAATGTGTGTGTGTCACTTTGCCAAAGGATCTGAGTATTACACTAATACGATTTTGGCATCCACTATTACCTAGGTTAACTTTTGTTCTACTGTCTCTTTTTCAAGTCATAATTTCAGATTTATGCATTTATTTATGATTAATCACTTCATATGAGAAAATAATCCTTTTTTCCCATTGCAGCCTTTTTTGGAAAATACCTCAATGAATATAATGGCAGCTACATCCCTCCTGGGTGGCGAGAATGGCTTGGATTAATCAAGAATTCTCGTTTCTATAATTACACTGTTTGTCGAAATGGCATCAAAGAAAAGCACGGATTTGATTATGCAAAGGTAATTTTCAGGCACTTTTATACTGCATCAATTTATTTTCTGCATAATAGGAAAAAGCCATTTTCAGTGAGTTAAGCTATCCACAAGGTTGGCTTTCTATGTTCTCACAATGTTAGAATGAGAAATTTTAAGGTAATTTTAAACTCCAGGCAAGAAAAAGACTCTCAAGGACCACTGAATTTGAATAGTGATTTTTTCCCCCCTCATTAGGTTGAAAGGCAGTCAGCCTTTGATGAAAGTATCATCAAGAAAATCATAGATGCCTCCACTCTGTCTTGTGATAATTTTTGTTTTTTTTCCCCCTCTGAGGGGCGTGTCCACATAGTCAAATGTTCATCTTGTACTGTTTTGCTTTTCATTGGAGTGAAAGTCTATTTTGTTCTGTGGCTTCAGATTTAGATCGAAGAATAAGAGCAGACAAGTGCAATAATCAAAGCTTGGGAAACCACACTCATCGCTTTTACTTCTGTCTGATGAAGCTTAGACATGTGACAAGGCCACCTGCCCTGTGGCAGCTGGAGTCCACACAAGTCTCTAAGGCTATCAGTCCTGGGATTTCCAAATCAGCTCATAGAAACTGAAGTTGATATGTCCCACAGTTCTCTAACAAATGGATCCTAGATTAGACTATTTTAAAATTCGCAAAGGTTCTGTGATTGCCAACTTAAATAAAACAGTTTTCAGATCACAAGAGTAAAGGGGAAAATATCTTTGAATTTAGCCCACTGGTTAGCCTAAAATATCCTCTTTCCTTTTAGCCATACCCATCTCTTCCTCATTTATCTAAAAGAAGCTAAGAATCTGCTTTATCTAGCTTAGATCACTATGAAAGAGCCATTGGTAGAAGTCAGAAAGAGGGACCTTGATTTAATTTTGGCACATTGCTGTCTTTCCATTTGGCCTGATTTGAGCATAAGGGACTTGGTGGGAGATAAGGTGTAAGCCTCTTCCATACCCTTCAGAAAACAATGAATGCAAATGAATTCACAAACATTGCTAATTGGTTTCCAGACTCAGCAAAGTTGAGAGCTGGTGGGGACCTTGGAGGCAGATTTGAGCAGCGTCCTACAAAGTGCACTAATTGTCACTGCTATCATTTTTCATCTGTGGGGATGCTTTTCATGCTCCTTGTTCAAGCTATTAACCTTTCTTTCCCTGTTGTCCTAAGGAGAGCAAAGTAATCAAGATTCCCTCCAAAGACTAAGTCAGCGTAACATGCCCATCATCACAGCTGATTAAGTGTCAAAGACAACTGTATCCGAAAAGAATACGTATCTTTTTTTAGTGAGGAAAGGAATGAAACAGACACTCCCATGGAAGAAGGTGATAGCCTATGGACTTGTCCTAAAAATGACATGTGACCGATTTCATCCCTTGGGCACTGCTTCTGCAGCTGCTCTGGTCCTTGAATCGACATGTGATTAGTTGTGCCTGGAAGCCTCTGCCATTGTGAACCTTGCCTGGGCGCTTTCTGAATAAAGTTTATACTGGCGCTCCAGGCCAATGATACACATTTAGAGGAAACAGGTGGTTTAATTTTTTTGATGAAAAACAGGTTTTTTTTCTTTCCTTTTCATTCCATTTCTTCCCTCCCCCTTATAGACTTACATCAGCCCCTTGGACTGTGGGTTAAGTCATTTTATTAACAAGTCAGGCTCTCCCAGCAGCTGTATCATTTTAGTGCAATTAACAGAGTATAATCTGCAGGAATCAACTACTCCCCATATTTAGTGTTTCAAGTAAATTAATTGATAAGATGTTGCAGCTTTTCCCTGTGCACCCAGATTTGGGCCACAGTTTTCGTTGGTAATTATTGTGTAATTCCTACAGGTGAATTTTTAACTTAAAGAAAAGATCTATTCGTTTGTGCATTTACGTGTGTGTGTGTGTGTGTGTGTGTTCTGCCACTGTGAATTTGTAGTGGTCGTGGGTGTTTCCTGCCCTTGAAGTAATTAAATTTTTTGTCAACGAATTACATCAACGAAAGCTGAGAATGAAAAAGGTATCCGGTGTTTCATGCTCTAGCATTTGCATTGCCAGATCTGATCATTATCTTGGGCAAACAGAACTTGACTTTTTTCTTTCCTCATCGCTAAGTGGTACATTACTTAAAATAAATGTTTTGCGTGTTACCAAACTAGCAACCCTAGAACGTAACTGGCAACCGATTTTCTCTGTTCCGGAAGATGTTTTGCTGTCTCGGGAAGTTCACCATCCTTCCCTGCTCTAGACCTTACCTTTTCAATCAGTGAGATGCTTCTGAGGAAAGCAGTATTCAAATGTGATCTGATGAATGTCACCTTTTGTAATTTTTGTTTTGTGTCAAATGTATGTTTCAGGACTACTTCACAGACTTAATCACTAACGAGAGCATTAATTACTTCAAAATGTCTAAGAGAATGTATCCCCATAGGCCCATTATGATGGTGATCAGCCACGCGGCACCCCACGGCCCCGAGGACTCGGCCCCACAATTTTCAAAACTGTACCCCAATGCTTCCCAACACATGTGAGTAAAAACATCAGCTCTGGGCCCTGCTCCCCACCCCCCTCCTCCCCTCCCCTGTTTCCTTCCCCACCACATCTCCACAAAGCAGGAACCTCGGCTTCTGCCGTGAGGCCACAGAACAGGCAGCCCACGGGGCCTGAAATAAAGGGCCTTGTCTAGGTGGTTTGATTAGGAATCACATTTCCAACATTTGTAAGTAGCTAAATGGAAAGGAAGGGAAGCACACAGGGTGAACAGGGGCAATTTTTATCAAGAGTTCCCATCAGTTGTCTTAAATAATGTGCATGAGTGTGACCTAATAATAATGATGATTGAGCAGTATGCTTTTCATAGCAGCAAAGTGGTGACCCCGGTCTGGTTGTAGAAACACAGGTTTGTTTTCTAGGCGCATACTCTCTCAGCTTCGCTGCAAATGTGCAATTAGGATTCCTGCAGAAAGCAGCTTGAGTGGGCTTGCCCAAGAGGCCTTCTCAGGTCACGGCTTTAAAATAACCTGATGTTTCTTTTTGAGAGGCAGGGGCCTTGGAGAGGAGGGGGTGGGGAGACATGGAGGAGAGAGCTAATGGCATCAGGGACGAGACAGAGAGCAGAGAGCTGGATTATGCTGGTAATTCTCGCTAGCGAAGGGTGGAAAAGTCTGGATGCTTTGGCAGCAAAGAACATGATTTTGTTTTTTACTGTCAACAAATTTTCTTCCGATCCATGGCAATAATATGCAGTCTTCACACAGAGCAGTTGGCTCTGTGTCTGCTGAAAGTTCGGCCACCAGAGAGGTAGAGAATAGGGAATTGATATGTGCTTCCTTCATCACTAAACCTCCAAAATTGGTTCTTAATCTGTTTGTGCTTAAATACCATCCCTTTTCCTCCACACTGATTTTCTAGCCATGATTCCAGACAGAAAGAAAATAGATTAAATGTACTTCCTTATGTAAAGAGATAAGTAACTACCGAAGGCACTCTAGCTGCTGGTGATTATATATGCCTTATTATGTATATATCCCCATATATATTCTTTATTGTATTTTATTGTAACTAATAGACTGATGGTTCCTGGTCAGTGGTATTTAGATCTTTGTTATATCAAGCAATTTAGAAAGAAGGAAGGAGGTCAGAGCTGACTGAGGACAGGAACTAACAATAAACATGAAGCCAGGGTGGATAACCTACTGAGCATGCCCAAGAACTTGGAGAATGGAAGTGTTTTGATACATAAAATACCGTCAACAAATAAAGACGGTTGCCCTAGCACCTGGAGAATATGGTTTGGATGAGCCATTGTGTTTTGGAGTCAACCCCATGGACAGATATACAAGCCTCTGAAGATCTACCCTACATAGAATCATGCAACTGAATTCATGAATGAAGCCCGTGAGTGGCGAGTGTCTCTCCATTACAGATCATTACAAATTTAGTAACTAGTGGGTTCAGTGAAAGAAAAAGGTCTTCGTGGGTTTCTTCCATACCCTATTACTCACCATTCACTTTTCTTGAATCAGAGATCACTTTGTATAGCTTCCTTTGTTGCATTAGCAGAATCCCAGCCTACGGTGACTTTCTACAACTGTAAACCTTACTGGTGTTTTCCCGAGTTTGAGAAGAAGGGGTTGACACAACGTGGTGTTTTATGGCTCCTTAGAAGTCAGCCTGCCTTTGAAGCTTCAAGGCAAGGTCCTGAGCCTCCAAGAAAATCAGCCGCAGGTCAGAGGTTCTGACAGCTCAGCGGCATGCACAGACAACAATCACGAGGAGAGGAATCTGCAGAGTTCTCAGGGCCTCAACGAGAGCTGAAAAAATAGCATTTCTGATTCCAGCAATTCAGAATTCTATTGAGTTCCACAGATATTTCTGAGTGCCACCTGTGGGCTCTATACAACACAGCAGGGATGTGGACATGAGGAAGACACAGTTGCTAACATTGGAGAACCAATAAACTAGGGCAGGAATTGGCACACAGGGGTCAAATCCAGCTTGCCACCAGTTCTTATTAATAAATTTTATTGAAACACAGCCATGCCCATTCATTTAGGTATCATCTGTGGCTGCTTTCGCATACAACAGCAGAATTGAGTAGCTGTGGCAGACACCGTACGGCCTGTGATGCCTGAAATATTTACTATATGATCCTTTACAGAATAAGTTTGCCCCCAATCCTTGCTCTAAGGGGAGGATGGGCAAGTGTCCAAATAGCAATGTCACCAGTAGAACCAGAGTGGTAAAGAATAGAGCAGGCGTTCAAGGGGCTGTGGAAGTTTGGAGGAAGAAGCGTTCACATCTTTTGGAGGACCAGAAAAGCTTCATAGACCAGGAGGCATTCAAAGTGGGCCTCAAAGGATGGGTAAAATGTCTGCAGCTGATATTCTACAGATTGGATAGATGATTTCAGGAAGAGAATGTGGCACACGCAAGCGGTCACCGTGTAAGTGAGGCGATCTAAGATGTGACCTAGGAAGTGGAGAATGGGTGCAAGGAAAGCAATAGGGGATAAAGCTAGAAAGGGAAACGAGCGGAATATTGAGGCCTTCAGGGAATTTGTACTTAACCATAAGCAGAGTCACTGGAGGCCATTTAATAGGGTAGTGACATAATCTGTGACTCAGTCATTTCCACATGCAAATAATTTCAGTTATTACCTTTTAGTTCAAATGAACCACCTGTGTGCCTTGCTAGCAAGTCTATAAAGCAAAATCTACACATGGCAGGGTGAAAAGTATTCAGGCCTTAGACGCAAACAAGTGTGGTTTCCTATCTCAGCTGTCCTCACCAAGCCTGCGGACAATTCTTTAACCTCTCTGAAACTCCATTGTCTCATCTGTAAAATGGGATAATACTAGCAGCTTGATACGATGTCATGAACGAAAATTAAGAGAGGCAGCATAGCTAAAGTCCCCACAGAGGGCCTGAGACATAGAAGCTACTTCATAGATGCTAATTCTTGTTCATCAGCAAGAATTAAGACAAACCGTATAAAACTGTTTTTTCTTGATTTGACCTTTCCTGACCTACAAAAAGTGCAGTTTCATTTGGTTCAACTTAGTGTTTCGGGGAAACAGCCTGAGAAATGACAGGTTGATACCTGCCTGCTGTGACATGACAAATCTCTTGACAAGCTAAGACCCACATTGTGATGAGCCTCTCGCACCTGGCCATTCTAAAAACACAGGTGGAATAAGCACCCCTCTGGGCTGTGTTATCTCTTCCAGGTGCAAAATGTGTGCTGTGGGCAAGTGCCCAGTTTGGAGAACACCCTTAGCCATAGAAAATGAAAATTCATGTGGTTGGAGGAGTGTTTCTGCTTCTATTTGCTGCTAAGCCTTGAGCTTTGCTGCACCTAGAATGTGGAGATCCACTGTGTCTCCCCACAGACCTGAGGATCCTTGAGTTCCTGGCATCTTGGTTGTAACGATCTCCCCAGCTGGCACTGGAGGAAGGGGCTGGAGAGAGTCCCTGTGCATCTCTTGTCACTGTGAGTGACTGCTTAGGTTCACAGTTCAGTCTACAGACAAAAGGAGTGAGACAAATTGAAGATAAGCTGCCAGTCGTGGTGCACAGAGCTCCTGAGTGGCCGGTTTCCTTAGAGAAAACATTAGCCACACATTCAAGCAAAGGGATGCAAGAAATTAAGTGCTTTGCAGAAATCTTTGGCAGGCCCTATGAAAACACAGCCAGAAGCTGTAGACCCTCCTCTGTTGGGGGTACCCGAGTAACGTGAACACTTTCCTTTAGGTCGCCTTCTTTGGTGGTCAAGCTTTATCCAGATGCCTTTCATCCAGCCTTGGGTTATAGCTATCTGACCCTCTCAGCCTGGAACGAATGTATCATATTTCCGCAGTGTTTGCTGTTCCCAACAAAGGAAGGAAGCCAGTCCAATATTGGCCTGTTGGCTTTACAAACTGAGGCTAGAGGTTATGCCAACCAACTAAGAATGGGAGCGGTTTATTGACCACTCATGACGGGAGGCGCTGTTTCATCAGACAGTAGCTCAGTCACTCATGGCCTCTGAGGAATCTGAGGAAGCCTCTGTCATAATAATGCAGATAATGATCCTTATCATGAAACCCTTCACTATGGCTAAGGCACTACTAAACTTTTCTGTAAAGTGTCTCCCCAGTATTCTCCTAGTGATGCTGTATGCTCCCTCTTGACATAACTTCTCTCCCCTGGCCTCAGTGAGGTGATAAAATGCACCTGTGGACAGAAGCCACACTAGGAAAGCAGATTCCATTTACCTACCCGATGATTCTGTGGGAAGCTGAGAGACATCCTCATCACCTCCTACCAACTGTGCTCCTATCAGCTTAAAAATTTTTTTTGATTCAGTTCAACAGTTTTCTTCCCATACCTGGAAATGTGCACGTACAAACACACAAACACAGGTTCAAGTGAAATCTAAAGTCTCAGGAGAACAATCCACGTCCACTAACTTGCAAGAATCGTTCTGAAAGTGGAGCTTCTGGATAGACATAGTATGTCAAAGGGAAACTGCCTCTGTGTAGGCCTCAGAACAACCTTTTGAAACACCTTTGTTATCTAATATTGGAAAGAAATGTCTTGCCTTAAAAAGAATTCGCAGGCCGGCCCAGTGGCGTAGTGGTTAGGTTCGCACTCTCCACTTCAGTGGCCTGGGGTTCACAGGTTCGGATTCCGGGTGTGGACTTACGCACCGCTCATCAAGCCATGCTGTGGCGGCGTCCCACATATAAGGTAGACGCAGATGAGCACGGATGTTAGCCCCGGGCCAGTCTTCCTCAGCAAAAAGAGGAGGATTGGCAACGGATGTTAGCTCAGGGCTAACCTTGCTCACCAGAAAAAGAAAAAAAAAAACAATTTGTACATTTTTACTTCATTTCTTCCACAAATACGTAAAACAAAATGCTTTTGAAGATGACAGAATTTTAAATTCTTCTTAAAAATTTCTGATTCAGGCAGAACTTATTGCTCCCTTTCCTGTGTTCCTGCTTTGATCCTCTCACCGTCGTTACTCCTCATCCCGTTGTATCG